GCGCGTGCGCGCTGGGTCTCCGCTCAGACCGGCGGGGCCAAGCGCGCCCCGGTTCCAGTGACCGCCGCTTCCCCCTAGGCGGCCTTCTGTTCAGGGGTCTTTGTGCAGTCCTCTCACCTGCCTCACACACTTGTTCTCCACTTCAGCGTCTTCCCGTGAGCAGGGTGTAAGGCGTGGGTGCAGGGGTGGTGAGAGGGTACTTTCTGGATGTGAGAGGACGAGAAAACAATACTAATCTGAAAGGTGCGAGCGCCGCCGCTGCGACTAATCCCCGCCCCTCCTCACCCCGCCGGGTCCCAGGAGTGGGGGCCGAAGGGAGAGGGGAAATAAGTCTCGGGCAGCTATTGGGGGAGTTTTGCTTGGACAGGTGTGGGTACTTTCTAGTAACTGGAAAGCAACACGGAGACCCAAAAGGACGTAAAGATAAGAGCGTCTTTTGCCTGCTCCGAGACCCCCGAACCCCTGCCGCTACCCTACAGGTGTCTGTCGGTGCCCCCAGGTAGCGAGCTGGGGTCTCCGAAGCCCGGGATGGACGGGAGGGCTGGGGGTGTACTTGCTGTGTCACTGGGGTGGGGGCGAGGGGAGTCTTGTTTATTTAAGTCTGCCCGTCTGTAACACGAGTAGGTGCAAAACGGACTTTTTCAGCTCAAGGCAGGCGAGGGGGCGACGCAGGAAAGGTAGAAACGACTTCCTCAAGGCGCTGCAGTGAGTCAGGCACACTAGAGTCCGGACTCCTTGCGCAGTCTTGTCTTCACCAGACGGCTCCTCACCGTTGCAGAGTCTTGGCATCAGAACTGCTGAACAGTCAAAGGAGTAGTCATAGATTTGGGGGGAGGGGCGGACACACTGCGCCCTAGGTTTACATCTTCCCTCATATTCAAGCTGAGTTTTGAGGCTTGTTATGCTCTTCCCCATCGCCACTGGCCAGCGGGATTCAGAGTCATCCTATGGGTGCTGGAATATCTAGAAGTTTTGTCTGCTTCCCAGACAAAAATATAACATCAAAGTCATTTTAGTGATAATCCTGGGAGAGCTAAAACGGCCGAGACTGGAGAGATTTATTTTTGCTTCCATAAAAAAAAGAAAAGCTTTAAAATTAGACAAAAATAACCTTTCTATGAGAGAACAAAGCAGATACCATTCAGGGTGAAACACAAGAGTTCAAATCTTGCCTGGGAAAGGCATCTTCCCAGCACAAAATTGTTCCAGCAGTTTGTCTAGTGTCTTGTTTTTGACATGCCAATACGAAAATAGCAAAATGTCTAATAGAAGTGATTGCGTGCTGCTTTCATTTGTTTCTTCCCCTAGCGTCCTTTCAGTCAATTCAGTGAGTAAGCAGCACAAAGAGATACACCCCTTTCCAGATCAAGTTCCAGGTAGTGACAAGGAGCTGGGCATTTTCATGGACTCTGGAACCAGGGAAGAATTATACCCTAGTCAGTGAAGAGAGAAGTTGGCTAAAATAGAGTTCGTGTTAAGTATGATGTATGCATAAAGATGTAGAGATTAAGTAGGAAGATGTGCTGAAGTCAGTCCTACCACGCTATGATTGTACATCTAATGCCTGTGGGGAGGGAGGTGTTTATGCCTTTACAGAATGAGGAATTGTGAGCTTCTGTTTGCCTTTATGAAACATGAAATCAGAAAGTACAGTATTACCTTTCCAAAATAGCACTGTCTGGTACAACTTTGATAACCAACATACTCTGTTCCTTCACTGTCCGATACAGTAGCCCCACTTGCCCTCGGGTAGCTACTGAGTACTTGGAGTGTGTAGCTCATGTGGGTAAGGAATTGAATATTAAAATTTTAATTTTATTTTAAAAAATTTAATCACATATTCACATGTAATTACTGGCCACTATACTGGACAGCACTTTCTGGAGGATCTGTGAGTTTATTGGCATCAGCTATTTCTAGGGGCTGTCTGCTGTAAGTACAGTTCCTGTGTACAGTGGTTTGGGGTTCTCCTTCCTACAACAGGCAGTGCTTTACAGTAGCTCAGCCTCAACTCAGAATGATTTACTGAATTAGACTCAGTAAGCAGAGGGTGGGAACTTCTACTCTGATTAGATTCTGATGTCTTCCTTCCCAAAAACATTCTTGTTAATTGCTTGGGTAGTGACTGCTCCTTAAAAGACTTCTTGGGTCCTTCGCAAAGAATGTTTGCATCTCCCATTTATGTCATGCCTGTGGTGAACAAACTGGTAACAGCTTCAGTCTGTCTGGCAGTACTGGAGAATGGCAGTCATCAGGGCTTCTCAGCCTACAGAAATTGGGTGTCACTAGAGCCTGTACCTCACATGTATCAAAGCCTGCTTGCTATATAGTGACTGTAATTACAGATTATATGCCGCTGATAACTAGAAAGATAAAAATCCCCCATGAGAAGTAAATTTCTACACTTTGGCAGGTTTGAGGGACAGTAATCACCAGTTACCTGGGAGAAAACTCTGAATACAGAAAAGATAAGAGAATTAGCAGGACAGAAGTCTCAAGACACATTTTTACTACAAAAATTTGCCCAAGGCTTGTGTTATTTTGTAAAATGTGAGGTAGCACCTAAGTGTATCATGGGGATTAGATTTTGTTACATGTAAAATGCTTTAATCTTCTATTTTTGTTTTTTTATAGTTCTCAAATTAATTTTTCTAGTAATAAAGTCACATTACATAAGGAAAAAAATACAAGAGCAAAAACATTACCCGCCATCACTTTTATTATAGTTAATAAAACAATGATTAGCATCTGGATTAGTCTTTTTCCTATGCAAGATTTTTATTTTTCTTTACACAATCATATTCATGGTCTACGTATAATTTTGTAACCTAACAAGTTTCTTGAGCTAGAGAACATTATATAAGGGAACACTGCAACATGTCCAGTGTAACGAGGTAAATTTAAAATCTGTCTCTGGAATTGTCTGCCCTTAATTCAATAAACATGGCAATAATGCAGTGAATTCCAAGATAAAATCCTTGCAGAAGGCACATCTGCCTGTTATAACATTTAAGTATTTCAGATCTTTTATGTCCCTCTGTTTAACTTAGGCATGATGTGAAATGTGTGGTTCAAACAAATCATACGCTTGTTCTTAGCTCACTGGAGTTAAAATTATCAAAGATTCAATGGGAAAAGAAAAAAGAAGAGGCACACCAGGTGTGTTACATATCCCATGTATAATCTTCACCAAATTCAGTCAGGTGAGCATTATCAATTAAAGGACAAGAAGGGTTAAGAAACTTAATGTATAAAGTTGTATTATAATTAAATAGCAGATTACTGTTCAGATCTTTCCAATATACCAGGCAGGTAAAGAAGAAAGCATATATCTATACAAGGCTATCGTGTTCCTTTTTTTTGGTACTGGGGATTGATCGATCTTGGGTCCTT